GTTCTTCTACTGTTACAGCATTGCATGTAGTCCCATAGCAATGGAATTTGGTGGTTATTCTCAAGAAATAGGAGCTTTACTAGCATCATCTGAGTAACCTGACCAACCCCTCTGAAAACTTGGTCAAACTTTCAAGTCTCTAGCCACATTGTGTCCTGTTTCTGTGTTTCTTTATTTTACTAGATCTACATGAACAGAATAGGAAGAAAAATCCTTCTGGAAAGTTTTTGAGGCATCTTCACAATGCAGGGTAATACTGTGTTGCCCTTTAGTTGAGATGCTCCACATTTCCTTGTATCTCACATGCAATTCTCAGAAGTGTCTGCTGATTTTTAGATGTCCGTGAAATAGCTTTCAGGTTAGCTTGAGAGGTTAGTAATTTTCTAAAAGCAAGGCCACTGTAAATTCTACCTGTGGTGTGCTTAAAATTCATTTCAAGAATTCACCACATATAAAATAGTAACAATCAGAAAGACGCAGGTGTTGACTTATGCAAGAGTAGGTATTTATGAGGTCAAGAGGCTTTGAGAATAGAGGAAAATCACTATACAATGCACTTTCCCCAGTGATAAATTCCTACCTTCTAAAGTGTTGCCAACAGTTCAGCAGAGGCAGACACACCTACCATCCCTTTAGTCAGTTAAAACTTGTCTGAAGTCCTGTCCTTGTCATGTTGATAGTATTTACAAAGACTATGTGGGCTGATAAGCTTTTATGTTGTATATGTCCAGTATATTACTTTTGCTGCTCTGGGTGTGTCTATTGCTCTTCACTTCTTATGCTAATCTCATTAACTGCATTTTATTACATCTAAGCTCTTACCTGTGTTAGCAACAGGCATAAGCTGGTTTGACAGTGGGCACAGGGAAAAGCCCAGGCAGCGGTTGACGAGTGGTCCTAATTAGCACAGCTTTGTAAATCTTTGCCTAGCAGGGAGCTTTGTATCACTCGATTACAAGCTGTGAAGATGTGCTTTCTGAGAGCATAAATATGTAAGTCTTTTAATTTTCAGTAATGTGCTTTTAGGCAGAGCATGCCACACAGTTTGGCTTGGTTCCTTCCCAGATTTCTGGTAGGGTTTTAGCAAAATGCCTAAAATTTTACTGTTAATGCCAGCGGGTTGTAGGAGGCACATGAGATTGGTTCTGTATTGTAGCTAAAGATAGTAGTTTGAATGTGGGAACTCCTATTCTTAGTATGGTACATGGTTAAATATTGCTAGTGGTTATTTTATATGGCTTTTCCATCTCCACAGAGCTGGCACTGACGAGCAGAGCCTGCTGCTCATCAGCATCTTGCCCAATGTTTGTTCCTATTGGGACAGAAAATTAAACATGGGCAGTACCGAGAACGCAAGCTCTGAGGTTTGGCGTGAGGAGGGTCTGATGTGGATTTTCATTTACATTGCCCAGATCAGTTCAAGTTCTGCTGGAGAGAATGCTCCCATTTAGAGGGTAGAATAGGAAGGAAAAGGTACGTCTGCTGATTTTATTTAATTCTTCTCCATAGCGAAAATATACATAAGATGAGAGTTTCCTATATTCTCCTCTTAGGGAATAAACAACCTTTTGCCAAAAAATGTTCAGTCCTATTGACTCTGGGTGTTTTAAGTTTATGCATTGAAATTATGCCAAGAACCACCAGTCAAGAAGCCTCCTTGTAGCAGAGGTCAGATTAGATGCAAGTGGGCTGCTCCGTCCCGACAGCCGAGTCCTCCTCCTGCCTGATGAGAACCAACCATGGACACGCCAGATACAGCACTGGTGTGTTTGGCTGGTAGATAGTGTAGAGGGTTGGACATCTGGAGCTGGGGCTGTCTGCCCTGTGATGTGTTTATCGCCTTGTGATCGTTGTGAAAGCAAACAGGAACAGGTAATAATTCAAATGTCGCTCCTGCTATCTGGAGTTGTCACCTCTGGGGAGCGACTGGGTCTTGGAGGGCTTGGGAAAGTGATCGTGAAGGTCAAGGGGAGCCATGCTTGGGCTCCTTGGTGCAGATGAAGGGATAATGAACTCTGTGGAAGGAGGGGGAGGACCATTTGAGGCTTTTATTATCCCTGAAGCTGTGAATCATCTGAAATGCTAATCCTCAGCACGCAGTCAGCAGATCGGGGCTGCTGCGTGCCAGCCTCTGCTGTCTGAAGGCATCCAGTGTGCAAGGAGCTGTGCCCTGTTTCTTCCAGGTCTTTTACATTTTTCTAGGATTACATCATGTTTTCTCTTAAAATTATGCAAGAAAAAAATCCTCATGTGGCTTCTCAGAGATTTTTAGGCTTTATAAGTCCATTTTGGTTGACTCCCCTCCAACTGCAGATGGATGGGACGGTGCATCAAGAACTTCAGGGTGTGAGATTGGGTCCCTTCAGGAAAGCAAGTCCCAAGGGCCAGCTTTGCTTCATCGAAGAAGTGTATTCTCTGCTATTGTGAGAAGTTGGATGGGTTTGTAGGTTGGTATGGAGAAGGTCCAGCTCTGCTGTAAGTTGGTACAACTCCATGGACTCTGCCTGCTAACGACCCACACCGGATGCCCTGGTCCTGGGTCAGTGCTGAAGGAACGTGCCCTGCGTCATGGCACAGATGTAATTGTGGCTCTTTGGTCACTGTACCTCCCAGCTCAGAGCCCACAAACCTTGTCGAGGAGGTGGGTGTGCTGGCTGGCTGGTACTCGGGTTAAATTCAGTGGTAGGCATTTCCATATTGAGGAGCTGCTACTCATCGCTCAAGCTTAGCACCCTCATTGTGGCATTTGCTGAGGACAAAACTAAGTTGCTACTCAACCAGGTCCAGAAGTGAGAGACCCAACAACCAGATGGGAAGATGTGTAGCCCCGTGACTTGTGCAAAAAAAAGTGGCATTTCAGAGTGTGATAGGACACAGCTGCCAGGTTTTGTGGCATTTCTGCGAAGTCTCAGTGACAAGGAGGCTACTAGCCCTATAATAGTTGGTGAAGGAGAACTTGGGACCCCTGCACCCGGCTGTGGTGGCAGCTGGGGAGTCACCTGTCCCCCGTGCCTGGCTGCCTGTGCCAGAGCTCAGCTCTCCCAGCATCAGCCTTTTTAGTGCTTCTGCCCTTGCTTGGGCATTTTGTTGTTTGCTGGCAATGAGGTTTCTAAATAAGGGTTTAGAGAGCGGCCATTAAAACTCTGATTATGAATGTTGTGGGTTGAGAATCTATATTTAGGGGAACAGCCCTTTATGTTTGGGAAAAATAAACTTATTTCCGTATTGCTTCCTTTGAAAACCTTTACTATTTCACCATATTTCCCTGCCAACCCTCGCTGCTACAGCAGCCATTGCAGTTATGAGTCAGGCTTAAAAATAGGAGAGAGCTTTTATTTTAATAATCAATTATTCTGTGTGAGTCTCTGATTGAAGTTGGAAGTGACCTCAGGAGGCTGTCTGGCTGAACCTCCTTCTCTGAGAAGAGTCAGTTGTGAGATCAGGACAAGTTGCTTAGATCTTTGGGTTTTGGTTTTGGTTTTTTTGTTTGCTTTTTTAATTTATTATTTTTGCTCTGCTTTCTGAGGCCTCAGGAGGGTGTGCTCTGTCTTCATCTCCGTGTATCCCTACAAACCCCTGGAGTAATCTACCTTCTCGCTGCAAGCTGAGCTGTCCTGCAGCCTTTTGTTCTCACCAAAGTGGGTTTTTAAGGGGTGAATAAAACCCCCTCCCTCAGCTTTTTGTGAGCATTGGCTGTATTTGAGCCTTGGGAGAAGAGATCTTACCCAGAGATTTTCTACCCAGCTGTCCCCATTTGTGGCACTTGGGTGCTGGCCAACTCACGAAGAAAAGTACATTTTCTTGGCAGAAGAGCCCCGGCTGGGCAAATCTCGGCAACAGCAGCTCCTCGACGCTAATTGACCCCCATCTTGGCAACTTCATCAAAGACGTTGAAGAATAAATAGGCTGTTGATTGAACTGTTTCCGTGTCCCCAGAGGTGGTCCCTCTTAGTCAGGGTTGAGGCACATTGTCAGGGCTGGGGAAGAAGCTTGCGGAGTGATTGGCCCGTGCTCGCCGAGGAACAAAAAGCTTTTACTGCGCCTTCGATGTGACATCTGCTGCCTGAGATGGAAAAGATTTCCATGCTCTGGCCCGCTCCACTGGTGCACGGGGCGCTGATTTTGAGGGAAGAGGGGGAGCGTAGCACAGGTGAAACCTCTAATAATAGAATCTGATGAAAACAGAGGTCGGGCGCAGGAAAACGCCTTCAAGGAAAGCCTGGATGCAGAAGTCAAGGCGGATGCTGATGGACGTGGCTGATGCGTTCTTTACCTAGAAAAGTCGTGTTTGTACTTGTTGGCGCCGCTGCGAAGGCATGCAGAAATCCTGCAGAAATGAGGCGTACAAGTTTCAGCTGATTAGTTAATGGAGCATGTAAGGAGAAAATATTAACCATTTTACTGATGCCTGTAAATAGGTTTTTAAATATTCTGCTGATGTGTTTTTGTGACAAATTGCATTCACATACTTCAACTCCCTTTGTTTTGTTCCAGACTAGGCCTGGAGTCCAAAATATTTGAACTTTCAACGGAGCAGTGCAGGAAAAGTATTTTCAGTGGAAATATTTTAAAGTAGATGAGCTGAAACTCTGGGCTTTGAATCAGATCAGTGTTAAAACTCTGAGATTTGACAAACACCACGCTGCTTCATGAAATTTATTGTCTTAGAAGTAGGGTTTTAGCTGAAGATAGAGCAAAAATTAGTGCTTCACGCCCTCCTTCTGCAGCTGTTTCAGGGCTCATTCTGCACTCAGTGGATAGAGTAAGCGTGGGCAAAATAAATATTGATACACTCCCGCCACGGTGGCCTGAGAATCACGTGTCTCTATAATGAGTTACAACATGAGTCTGTGTGACACCGTATATGTCGCTGCTATGCGAGAGGGCCTATAGAGTTACATTGCGGTGGCAGCCTGATATGGGGCAGTGCACCACGTTCTTGGGTAATAATTGCATTTGTGATTCCCTAGCAGTGACTCTGTGCCGGTTTTGTTTTTTAGTGATGAAACCACTAGAAAAGACTTGAAGACGCTGCCTGTCTTTCCCACCAAGACGCTGCAGGAGCATCCATCACTCGCTTACTGGTGAGCTTCAATTTAAAATGTAAATTATTGCTACGAATGGTAATGACAAGATCCCTTTTAAGCAGTTTTGCAAACTCTTAAAAAAGAGTTTTCAGGTTGTGCGGTAGAGGACTCGGAGTTAACTGCTTGTGTTCAAGCTTTTCCAGTTTTTAGAACGTTGCAAATTACACGAGATCCGGTGCAAATCCCCCATTGAAAGTTCACTCAAATTAAATTGCTGGATCAGAAACTGCTGGATCCAGACTGTGTGGGGAAAGAGCTGAAATCTGAACTCCGGCCAGGCGTGGGTTTGCAGCGAGCACCTTGCTCTCCAGCTGTCACGCCGCAGAGCCGCTCCTTGGGGTGACCTTGGCTGGCGGCCACGTGCCCACCCAGGTGCTCTCCTCAACACCACAGTGGGAGAAAACAAGGCAGAAAAGCTGGAAACAGAAAGGCAGGTCCAGTTTTGTGACTTGGACACGCTGTGGAGGACCACAGCATTTGGGATGAATCAACAATATTGTCTCCTTGGAGTCGATGCCCTTTGTGCAAGTTTGACTCCCTCATTTATTTAATTTTTTTTCAGGCTTGATGTGCACCTGATGGAATTTCAAGTATACCAGTACTTGCTTATGGTTTGGTTTTGTTGTTTGGTTTTTTTTTTCAGAATGAATACTGCTGGGTTTTTCTTTTTCTTTTCTTGGCTTTCAAGTGTCTGACATTTAAATGCATATTTTATTTTGTATTCAGCTAAACCAAAATGTATATAACAGGAAAAATGAAAAAGGTCATTGCTGACAAATCTGTATTTTTTTTTCACCTGTGAAATGTCAGAGGAAAAAATGCACTGAAATGAAAACAGGCCTGGTTTACCTTCTTCTGTCTTGCATGTAAGCAAGTTTTGGTCCTGTAAAACGTGAAAATGAATTTATACAATTAGTCCCATCATTCTGCAGCAGCATTTGCAGCAGAAACGATTCATTAATTGGTCTGGAACGCGGTGTGCGGTGGCAGGAATCAGCCAGGCAGCTCCTTGCTGCTTAACAAAGGGTGAGAAAGAAACCAGTAAGAAACAGAATGTAAACCGGCGCAAGGGACGTACAGAGGGACGCTGCTCTGCATGCCGAGCAGGCGTCTGGATTGCGACAGATGCTGTCGAACACGAAGAAAAAAGAGTCACTGAGCCTCTAAATTGGGTTTTGTGCTTGTTTTGCAGTGAGGACAGAGTAATTGAGCATTATACACAAATTAAAGGTCTGACCAGAGGACAAGCCATTGTTCAGTGAGTATGACACTTATTGGTTTGTTAAGATGATATTTTTCCTTTTTTCTCTGTTGTTGAGAAGTGGCCGTGCAGGCTGCTTTAGTCATTATTGCTTGCAAACTTACCATTTGTATCAGTCAGATTCTTTTTTTTTTATTTTTTCAGTTATATTTCACAGTTAAATTATTTGAAGTTTCAGATTTCACAGGCTTGCAGTTAAAGTTGTATGTCCTCATTCAGATACCTTAAATATAAAGGAAATTATTTAGGCTTGAATTTACTGGAAGACTCTGCTCCATACTTTGCTTGCTATCAAATAGTTTTCACACCAAACTCTTCAGGATGAGTATTACCTTAAGTCCTATAAAAAACCCCAAATGGATGTTTGTTGAAACGATCAGAATTTCAAAAGAATGTTCAAAAGAAACAAGGTCTTCGAAGACGCATACAGAGCCTATGGACTTTTAATTTATCATTAATACTACTGTATTTCCTACAGGCAAATGCAGTGCAATGTGTTCCAAACTAAGAAGTTGGAGCTGATTGCCGTGTTTGCATGATATAGAGAGCTTGTCGTTTTTCTCACAGAGCTGGATGCCTGTAACTCTGTCTCAATAATTCAGGGGCTTCTTTCAATAGGAACGAGGGAAAATATCCTCTGTTCAGTGGTCGTCTGAATTGCCTCATGAAAAAGTCGTACGACTGCATTAGCACTTCTTTGTGAGGCCTGTCCGTTGGAAGCAGAGCATCATAATGGAATCATTAGAGGCAGGTCTTTACCGCCAACATTTCCCAAAAGGCTCGTGTGTTCAGTTCAGAATTTTTACTTTCAGTTCTCTGACCTTCTGATAAGAGATTTGAATGTTTTATTCTATGAGATATTTTCCATTTGCTTTAGCTGGGCCAAAGCATCACATCTTTCCCCTAGCCAGGATGTTGACGTTTTTTTCTGGACATGTGGGGCTTCAATTATTAAGGCCTTCAAAATATCAAAATGACAAATGACATGTCCTTGAATGTATGTGTGAAAAAAATACGTTAATAGATGTTATTCCCTCCAGAGAAAATAATCTGATACGCTATAAATCTGTCTACAGGTACATGAAAGTGGTGGAAGCTTTGCCAACATATGGAGTTCATTACTATGGAGTAAAGGTTAGTAAATGCCCATAGATAATGTGATTGCTTTGGTTATTACACGTGATTACATTCCTATAGGAGTAGTTTGATGATTCAGTACCCTTCTATCAGTATTAAACCCCACATTCTTCAGCATCTATAATTTTTCCCACTTCATTGCTCTTTAAAAATTGTTTCCAGAGAGCAGCAGAGCATTATGTGCTACAGAAGACAGAAAAGAACCTTTGTAAAAACTTCTGTAATCCTGTCAGGAGCTAAATTTTTATAATCTTAATTAAACTGGTTATCACTTCTAGATCAAAGCAGTTAAAATGTCCCTGGGGAGACTATTGTGAATTCTAATCAATATTAGAAAAAAGTAACCGTATAGAAAAGGTTTCTTCTGAGTGATAGGTGATTAGTGAGGAAATGCTGAGAAATACTTTTGGAGCGTGATGAAAATGCACCATTTATTCCCGTTTGTAGTGCAGACCCTGGGACCAAGTGTTTTGCACGGAAGAGCTCAGCAGAGATGATGTCTCCTTATTTTTGAGTCATGGCCATGACTGTGGTACCCAAGGAGCTGATTTTTTTTTTGCACTGTTCTCTCCTCCTGCAGCTGTCCATGCCTGAATTTAGTGGATGCAGTCAGTGGCCACGTTTTTTTCTGTCTCATATCCTTCCCCTCTCACAGCCACTCCTGCAACAAGTGACACTTCCTTGTGTCAGCAGCACTGTCGCTTTTTTGTCCGCTTTGCACAACCATCACCTGGTTTCTTGCTCCTGCCTGAGAAAGCAGGGGGAGAAAGATTCAACATTCACTCCAGCAATCCACTTCACATCAATTTGTTTGAAAGAAAAAAAGTTAAATAAAATTCTTTGTTCCATACCTATTCGTACTTGTCACAGAATGAAACGAGCTGTAATCTTGGAATTGTGTAATTCTTAAGTAGCTCTTGGTTCACGTCGGCCTCCATTTTTCAGGATAAACAAGGAATCCCGTGGTGGCTCGGAATAAGTTACAAAGGAATAGGCCAGTACGACTTACAAGACAAAGTTAAGCCCAGAAAAGTAAGTTGGTTTTAGATCTCATTTTTGGGGAGTGGGAGGCAGGGTGATGTTGCATGTCAGAATATACTTCTTTAATATGTTGCTTATTAGACTAGTGAGCAAAAAACCAAGGGTTAGAGGAGGAGAATTCTGCTGGCACCGAGGCAGTAAAACTCTCCCTCTCACATAGATAGTGGAAACTCCCTTCGGGAGCTTTGGCTCACGCTTCGCCTTCAGTTTGGTGGTCTCAGGACAGGAATTTTGGCAGCCTCCAGGGATAAGTACAGCAGCATGAAGCAATTTGGTTTCTGCAAGTCCCAAACTAAAGACCTTGTATTCAATCAGTGTTTTCACTTGGCTTCCGTCGGTGTTTTTATGTGTGAAATGATAAAAGGCTCCACTGATATCCGTGAAATACAAGAGGAACTGCGTGAAACTGCAGGCCTGTTCGGGCAGCCGTATGTTTCCACGGTGCAGTGAGTTGTGAGGGGAGGATTCAGAATCAATGCCAGATAGTGGAGGTCGTTCTTCTCTCTTTCCACCCCTCTGCTCTTCAGTGTGTCTCCTGCAGAGTGAGCCCTGCCAACGACCTCCCTTGCTGTCTAAGCAGGGCAGAGGATCCCATGTTCCATGGCTGGCTCCCTCAGAGCCCCCGGCAGCGAGCCCCAACCAGCTCCTCTGCCAACGGCCTTGGAAACCCATGGTGCAGCCCAAGCACACGATGCGTCCGGAGCTCGCCTAGTCCTGCAGCCGCACACGTCTGCCTTTGACAGGACTTGAAAGCCTTTAAAGAGTTACTTAACGCGCTTGTTTGGGGAGAAGAGCCAGGACTGCACGTGCCGCTGGGCCGGGTGTGTGTGGTTTCTTTCTGGTCATGTTTTCATTGAAAGATCTGAGCGGTGAGGAGAAGGAGACCTGGGGTTTTGCTGTTCTCCTTCCCTGGGAATGATCTGGGCACGAGTTCACATGAAGTGTGTGCTTCCTGCCAGGGAATTTTATATTTGCAAAATGATATTGTTTAGTGTATTTGTGCCAAAAAACAACAGCTTAACAAAACTTCCTTGTTACAAGTAATTCCCCTTCAAGCTCCCAGCTTCTCTTTGTTCCAGAGTGGGCTATAACTTGGTTTCTTTTCGTAGTTTTATATACCTGTGTGTCAAAAATTGAACTCATACGCTTCCTTTGCTTTGTTTAGTAAAGCACAGTTTGGTCCCAGGTCGCTCTTACCATGCCTGTTCTAAATGACAGTGACACAAGAGGATCAAGCCAATGTTAGTGCAGCCATTGAGCGTCAAAGGAGCTCCTCTTGCTCTTGAGCACTTCCCTGTTTTTAGGCAACATCTACAAGAGTTTTCCGGTCGGGTCAAACGCGGATCGTTCTCTAGCCAAGACGTCCAGCTGTGACCATCAGGGCTCTCCAAGAAAGTGCAGCCTGCCTGGCTAGAAGCATTGCTTCGCCAAGCAGTTTTTATCCTTGTGGGATTTTAGTTTACAACATCAACCGGGCAGATTAAGAAAATTTTTTTTAAGGTCAGCAGGGCCCAGATACCAAGTCACACCCTGCTACAGTTAGTTACGAGGCGTTGCCTTTGAACACAGTAGGAGCTGTGTTTAAGAAAAATAAAATAAAAAACAAAGGTCACCTCTGCAGTGGAAGTGTTACCATGGAAAATGATAATAGTTGTCTGCTTTAATGTAATTATAGTTGTACAACAGAGGATAGAGATTAGAAGGGAAGGTGGGATAGAAGAGCCTAAGTGCAGAGGGAAAAGTTTAATAAGCTGATTTAAAAGGAGACGATGGATATGGCTGTAGTATTCTTATAGATTTGTGGCTGATGTTAATGGGGGGGACAAAAACGACTGCAGCCACAGCTTGTCCTGAGTTATGACTGCTTTTAACGTGTGGCTAATTATGCAAAACCTTTCTTTATATGGAAAGTGTTTCAGGATTTGAAGTACAAAGTGCACTTCTGATGTGATCCGTGGAAGTAATTGGAATCATCGCTTCCGGGGAGGAAAGCAGATTCTGGGTCTAGAGAGGCACCCATGTCCAAACTTGGCTTTGAAGTTAAACTGTTGAGTTACTGCTGTTTACTTCACTGGAGCTGTACAGCCTTGCTGCCTGCGATGCGGCAGGCAGGAGTTTCCTTTTAACTAGCATTGTTGTTTGTTCATATTTATGAGCCTATCAGAATATCTGTTTCAGAGAGAGAAGAGTCTGTATAGCTTGCCTGAGTCTCCGAGAAGTCAGCAAGCACAATCTTTTCCAAAGCAACAGGCAAGAGGGAAGGAGGCATGTAAACTGTCTGCCTTTGGGAGCAGAGGTGCTAGGTTTGATGGATTTAGCAGAATTTTCTTGCTTTGCTTTTCAGGATGGAGCCAAGCTCACAACTGCCATGTGCTGATGTTATCCTGCTGTTTATACTGTGGATCAAAAAGTGCTGTTGTGTTTATCCCTAACCATCTGGGAAAGAGCATCCTTATTGTGCTCCACTTCTCCAGTTAGTTATGTTTAAATATATGTGCAGCTGATGAGCTCAGTAAAAGGGAGAAGCTGAGTCCAAGTCTAATGAAGACCAAGCTGGCCTTCCCTAGTTTTAAAGACACAAGGGATCTCTGAGTGTGCAAACCCCTCTGATAGTGGCTGCTGAGTTTCAGGTAGAGGCTTTGGACAAGAATAGGTGTCTGTGCTGTGGCTGAATTCACACCAGGGCAGGTTTGTTTTGCTCCCCGTGTCTTTTCTGCAGTGAGAAGGGCTGCTGTCAGACATGGCTGCATTTGTTTAATATATTTGTCAGAGGCATGTAGTAAGAGGCAAGTCCATATTTGGAATAAAATGTTAAAAATAATAGAAAATAATGTATATAAAATTAACTGTGCCCATTAATGCAGTGGCAATTAAATCCCAATAAATATATCCATCCTCCTCAAAAAAGTGAAATCTTTTGGCTTTACCCAAGTAGGTCTTTAGGCAATGAGACATAACTGTGAGCCTTGGAGCACAGCGGTTATCCCAAGGTTTTGTTGTTGGACCAACACCACTGCATGAAGTCCAAGGTTGAGAGCTCTTCACAGGAAATAACTTGCAAGACAGACCTGGATGAAGCAATCTCCAGATCGGAATTATCCAGCCTTGCCAATGTGTGTGCACGTGCTGTCATTTATCTGTGAGGGGAATGTGTGGTGCTGGAGAGGACAGTGTGTAACTCAGGGCTGGACCAGGAGAACCTGCTGTGTCTGTCTGTCTCTCTGAAGCTGGCTGGGGAGGTTTCTGTCTGGCTCTAATGTTTTGCTGGTTGACCTGAGATGGTTTGGAGAAAGGAGTTTAGTTTGCTTTAAGTCCCTCCTGAAAGCTTATATTGCTTCGGAAGGGGTTTCTGGTGAAGCAAGCTCATGTTTTACCCCTCGCCCGGGACTGCGAGCTGATGGGCACCGAGGGAAGCGCTGTGCTCCCACGCTGTGATAGACTGAGAATGGGGAATTATTTTTTGTCATTTATGAAAGTTGTGGTTTTCTCCATAGATAAAGGCAGTGGCTCCACACTGACTGGAGGTTACACTGAGCTCAGTTGATTATAATCCTGGAGTCTCACAGGGCATAAAAAAGACTGGGTTTGGCAACCCTTGTTCAGATTTCAGCTCAGACCTGGGATTAACTCTGCAGTCCTGCTGCTTTGCAAACATATTCTCCCCTCAGCTGCAGTTAATACCGAGAGATGCCTCCTGCTTGCTATGAGGTGGAATGCCAAAATCCTATCCCTGGTCTCCTCTGAATCAGTTAGGAAAAGCATAAACCAGGTCCCAGGGCTTTGTATAGATCTCCCTTTTATCTCTACCCCTGTTCTTCTTGCTGGTGAGATAAACAATGCCTCGTCTTGTTTATAGAGTGTGTATTAAGTTTATTCTGCCTTCAGCCAATATGTGGTGATCCTCTGAGGAATGGGAATTTGAGAAGGCAGCTTGCTGGCTTTTTGACTTGTTCTCCCACTTCATTGTGTTTCTGTGGGCGACTCCCTGGTGATAAATGAACTATAATGTCTGAGGAGAACAGCTAATCTTGCTATGGTATTGTTTCAAATCTGCAAGAATTTCACTTCTAATGCTGCTTGACTTGAATCCATTATGTTCTCAGAACTGTTTTTATTAGAGTATGCTCATTTTGAAATGGGTAATATTTATGATATTTCTCTTTTAATTCAACGTATACTAAGAGCTGGTGCTGACAGTTTTTCCTTGAAGAACATTTACTCAGTGTAACTCTGCTGTCCTGCTTTGAATGATTCAGAACACAACAGCATTTGTACAGACTTCTCAGCAGGCAGATCTAATTAGGCAAATATTTCTTTTACAGTGTTTATTTCTCACCAAGTAGAAGCCATTGGTTTAGACATAAAATGCTAAGCTCGCATAATTATTTAAAATAAACACACAGTTCTTAGAGACTGCTGTGAAATTCCAGATGTTTGGAAAGTTGCTTGGGGGTCACCTGCCGCAAAACACACACGTTTTGGGGCAGTTTGGTACCAACACATCTCATTAACACCAATGTGAGGGAGAACTGAGTGAGGATGGATTGTAATGCATTAGAGAATTTTTTAAAAAGGCAATTGAAGAGGTTTTTAGAGGAATGGCTTAGTATGCAAGAGGTGAAGGATGCCTCCAGGTGAGCTCTACCAATATATGCTGGCACAGGTGGGAGCTGTTGGCCTCCTCCCCTCAGAAGCTGCTGCAGGTGGGGCAGTTTGGCTCTCCTGCCATCTCTTTAAAAGCCTCCCTCCGTGGCCAGGGATAGGAATTTAAAACAGAAATATTTCAGTTGGAGGTAGCATGCCAGACAACCAAGTGCAGCAGAGGGGCTGAAGCGCAGCCCTTCTTCCAGTGTTGCCGGCAGGGTGGTAATTTCCTTCAGTGGGGTGGGGTGCATTCCTGTGGGCAGAAATCTTTTCTGTTTCCTTGGTCTGAGTTGCCACATTTGGCTGGAGATTGCCGTTCCCAGCCAATTCCTGGGGTGCTGGCTGCTGATCCTCCTCCCCGGCTCCACACGTAGCACGAGGTGCTTTGAAAGCACGTCCCGAGGGAAAGGCTGCAGCGCAGTTTGCACTTCCACGCTGGCCTTACCCAACGGTCCCTTGGTCAGATCTGGCCAATTTTAGCTCTTGGTCGGAATTTGCTGTCAACCTTGGAAACATCTCGGGTGCAATCGTGGCACGTGCTGCGCCCAGGGCTGGTGCAGCAGTGCTTGGCCATGCAAGCTCTGCAGTGAGCTGCTCTCCAGGCTTTTTACCCCTTTGTGGGGGCAAAAAAAAAATTCTTTAAAGTCCTTTTTTACAGAAAATGCATCAGGCTGGTAGGATATGAAGCAAAGGGCCCCTGAGGAGCTCTCTTGCATGTCTCTCAAGGAGGGGCTATGCCAGCTCCTGCCTCCAATCCTGATGGGGCTGTTTTTCCAAGCCAGTTTGCTTCTGCTGTCAGGCCCAGACAAACTTGCCTTTTATTCAAAACTGGATGCAAGATCAGCCAGGTAAAAAAGAAAAAACCCAACAAACTAAAAAAAAAACCACCAAAAAAACCCCAAACAACCAGCTGCTTCTTTTATTTAAGGTGTCTCACTACTTAAGCAGTCTCTTTCGGCTTTGTGTCTTGTCAGACTAGAATTAGTCTCTTTTTTTGTGAGGGAAAAAAAGGGCGATAAGTTTTTGTTCAGTATTCTCTAGTATCTCAAAGAGAATCACAGTAGAAATGCAGGAACCTTAAGCTCTGGCTGGTGCACAGAGGTCCCCGAGTAATGAGGTGTGATCAGAGAGCTTTGCACCTCCGCCTTCTCCAAAAAGACCCAGAAAACAAGCCCTGGCCAGACCAAATTCTGCCTGTGGATCAGACAGGCAGCCCCTGATATGCTTAATGGGAGGTTTTGGGAGCCTTTAAGGATCTGGCAATCTAAATGGATGGGAAGGCTATTAAGAAAACATTCATTAGGTCAGGTGGACCTAATCATCTGGTTGAAGGGAACATACATTGCAAAACTTCCACAAAAACACTTTAATTATTCCTAATTGTTCTTCCAGCCCTCAAAAACCAGTTTCAGATTTCCAGATATATTTATTTTTACAACTCTTTTGTCTTTTAATATGCATGCAGTTTATATAAGATTGAAATTAGGAATGATTTCAAAACATGTCTGTATAGAGGTAGGAAGTATTGAAGTATCTAGTACAGTGACAGATTCCTGAGTATTGCCTTTTGACTACAATGTAGGAAAAAAATACTTGAGGAGTTTATAGAATTTCATTTGATTTACACTGGTTTATTCTTTATTCCTTTTTTTTTCTGCCTGTGTTTGCATTAAGGCCTTTTTTCCCTTCTTGTTTTCATTAATCCACACACGTTAGGCAGAAACTTTAATACATTCATTCATGATTGTTTTTAAGTGTGCCTTTATAAATATTGTTAGTCAGCAACTTATTCCGAAGCTGCTCATATAATCGTTGGTGTTTGGTTTAAGACCCAACTGCAGAAGGGTTTGCCAGAGGAGTTGAATGCTAAGGAGCTTAGATTGTTCTTAAATGAGGTAGCTTAGGGACAGGACACTTTTCAGTCCGTAAGAGCGGAGTTTCAAATGCTGCTTCTCCATCTCTCCTTGCCTTCGAGCAGCAGAGGGGGAGAGCTGGAGCTGTGCCAGCCCTGCGTGTCTTTGGGCAAGGAGGCAAATGTCTTTGTGCTGAATGCAGCCGCCTGCAAATGCTTCAGGCGCCCATCAGCTCCTTTTTGGGCTGGGATGGGTCTCACAGGGTGGGGAGGAAATGGGGCAAAGCTCTACCCACATCCTGAGGCAATTCCATGCAGGTTTCCTTACAAACGCAAAGACTTTTTTCCCTTCTTTTCGAGCACTGCAAATGATCAGGGATGCATCTGGCCGGTGTAGGATTTACCC